TAAAGTTTCTTAATAATTTTGGAACTTCTTATTTCTAAAATTTCCTTGGTCAAGTTTACACTATTTTAAACACGTTTAGTTATTTATTTTTGTAATTTTAATTTTTTATTTTTAAAATATAATTTAAATTTAAAAATAATAAAATAAAAATAAGAGTCGAGACGAGACGAGACCATAAGCCTTGTACCCGCACCAATTCTCCTACTGGGCATATTATATCACTCCATTGTTATTTAAGAGTGTCTAGTATGGTCTAATACATTCTCAAATCTTTGTTGAATTATCATTTACTCTCGTAAAAACATTTCCCACTTCAAATTTCTAGTAATAAGTTCAAGTTGTAAACCATAACTCAGCTTCATAAAACCAAACATCTTTGATTAGAAAGCAATCTTGCTACATTTACACTCTTCCTTGCACCTTCCTTTACACTCTTTTTACATGACAACATTTACACTCTTGATTTTGAATTCATCTATCATATCACTGCACAGATTTCCTCTACATAGAGAGGAATGTCTACCAAGTTATCATGATTAATGTATATATAGCATTATTCATTAGAAAATGACTCAACATGAATTTGAAAAAAATTCATAATTGTGATCTGATTGTGTCAAATCTGAGAATTTACTTGATAATGAGAAAATAGGTTGGGAAAATTGAGCAATTTTGGTTGGGAACTGGGCAATTTTCCCTTTCTACGTTGTATTTTGTCCACTTCTCAATCTTGCCCCTGCAAATTTGGAAAAAACGTGGAAAAATTAAACAGAAAAAAATTGTATTTACCCCGTTACAAAAATGGATTTTGTTACTAGTCAAAACAGAATGGCCCGTGGAACCCCCCCACCCCCACCCTATTTACACGTGGCGATCATCCAAGCTATCTGAGAGTTAGTATCGATTAAATGCCGAGGTGGTTACACTAAGATCAGCCGAGGTGATTCTACCCCTGTTCATCTCTTATTACCGAACTTCCTGGAGCATCCGAGGCCCTTGGTAGCTTCAGCGGAACGTCTCCAGAATTAATTGACGCGACATGCCCATTTATTAAGCATCAGAGAAGTCAGCCTAAATTTATAAGGTAGCTGACCCCTTATCAAGAGTATGTCAATGTAATTAATATGAAGTAGAATTGACGTGGCATTAAGGGCCTCGGATCAAGCCACGTGGCTCGGATCTAATGAAGGCCTCGATGGCCTGACCATTATAAATAGACAATCCTTATATCATTTAAAAGGAGGAGTCTATGAATGGAAAAGAGAACATACTCTCTATCTTCTTCTTTTTTAACCAACGTGTTTACAGTAGAAATGTTGCAAAAAACAGGTCTACGCGTATATTGTCTTCTAACGACACCTGTTGACCATTTTCTAAGATCAACAGATTTCATTATTTACTACGTTACGATAATAATATTAAAAATACTATGCAATATGATAATTATATCCATAAATACTAACTCTAAAATTAGATCCCAAACCACAACTTGTAACTGAAATTTTTTGAATTAAGCAAACATTATGCTTGCGTTTATTGTCTCTTCCAAAATCAAAAAGAAATTCAAAAATAAAATGGGAGATATACGAACGATCAATTACAGCAGAAATCATATTGAGAATCTTTCTACCACTGCAACTATCCACCAAAATACATTTACAAGGTAATATTATGAATATATTTATGTGCTGCAATCTAAGATAGGTTGAAGAAATATGCACCTTTTCCAGATGTGTATGAATCTACATTATGGTTGTTTCAAGAATCATAATCAATTAGATATGTTGAGAACTGATACAAAAATTCAAATGATTATGTGATTTATTGCGTTGAAAAAGTGAATCTTTAGAGTATGTGTGGTAGAGATTTTAATCCAATTAACATCAATTTTTGACCGTTATTTCACTATTCCAACCGTCATTTTTGAATTCTTCTCTCACAAGTAGGACCCACTTCATTTAAAACGCTTGTTAATGTGAAAAAATCGTGATTGGTTACCATCTTTTTAGTTTCTGATTTCGTGACCACATAAGACGTTTTTTGAATTCTCAATGACTGCATATATGATTAGGTGATGTGTCGAAATTTGTAATATATGACTTACAAATTTCTTCACCGTCAAGCAAGATTCCAGAATTTTCAAGATTAAGCAAAATGTGAGATAACATACATGCGAATACATATGCTCGGACTTTTAAAAAATTAAATTTCAAAATACAATATCATGGCTACGGTACCAGGGAGGATGAAACATGTGAATAAACTACTTGATTCCATATCACAAACCAAAAAATAATTTTAGAAAAGTCCGTTAAATCAAACATACGAACGTCACATGGTATGAACATGTAATGTGCAAGTCATTAGATATGGCTATGAAACGATTTTATTTGTAGAGTGCAAACAAAGAGCGCGTTTCAAAAATGTTACTCCTTCAAGCAATTCCACCTTTCTAACCTTTAAAAATAATAATAATAAATAAAAATATCGACTATACCCCAGATTTAAAGGGTAATTCAACCCCCTAAAAAACACACGAGCATTATTAAGTCAATGGAGGATCTTATAGCATGCAAATCAATATGAGGAGATAGCCATTAGCCCACAATTTTACATATTGTTACAGAATCAGTAAACTCTGAATTGTTATTGCCTACCGAAATCAAGTAGCAAATTGGTTACCAAGCGAAGGGTAAGAACATAATCTTATCTACACGTGAAAATGATTGCAGTAGATTATATTGTCCTAAACACAACCAGAATCATTAACAATCATATTAGGCCACCTCTATCATTACAGATATATGAAATAGCCGGGTGGTGAAATAATATCCTTTTCCTAGGAAACAACCAAAAGTTAGAACTAATATAGTTATAGAAATTATATGTGAGGCCATGGATTTTTTAATTTGATTAGTATCTACGACCCCTGCCTTATTCAACACATCGTTTTGTGATAAATGGAAAAACTGGACAGAATTAAGAAAGAGTTACTACCCAGTTTTGTTTAGTGCTTCTGTTTTCCTAGTAAATTAATGTGTTCCGCATTTTCTGTTCTTTTTCTTTCTAAGATCAGGATCTCAAGGAGCCTCGGTTTCTGAAGTTAAAGATGCAGTAAAAGTTGCTTATGAAAATGGAGTAACAAGGCCGAAATTCTCACATCTATCTGTAGCCTTTTCCTTCGAAATCTGGGAACCTTGTTGGTCGACACGGGGAACTTCTCGATATGCCAATTTCAGATTATGCAACAAGAGGATCACTTGAAGTCCACTCAATTCCCATGGAAGCAAGATTGCGTTCTAGCAATGCTGTTTTGCCTTTTCTGGAAAGTACGTTAGAAAATCTTCGCAAGTTTGGTATTGCGCGAGGAGCACTAGGGACGGAGTTACTCAGAAATTGGGGTTTCGGGTTGGGTGAACTTGTAAGACATGGGCGGGACACTGTCTAAAATGGTTATAACACTGAAGCCTTATTCTGAAGAGTAGTCGGATTCTGATCAAGGTTGCATATCGTATGACTTGTAGCATGGAGAGTGAAACTTGAGAGAAAGTTGGTACTCTGTATTGCGTACAATACTTACAAGGAAAACTGGATCGAAGCTATTTAAAAGTAGTTTTTTGGTTTCGAAAGTAACTTTTAACTTTTTAAAAGCTTTATCTAACAAGCCCTTAGTATCAAATAATTATCTACATTCAATTGAAAATTTTATTCATAATAATGTTCAATACAATCTAGTGTTGTGTATTCAATATACGTAATCTCAACAGTCTTCTCTAGTTAGGAATACATCTAAACATATAATCTCGACCACGTCGTCCAAATTCCTCGAGAAAACAATGATCAATACCACAAATAAAAAAAAATAAAAAAAAAGGAAAAAGAGAAAGGAAGCAACTTCTGTATTTAGGAATGGTTTCCCTTTACACAGTGGGAAGTGTTATCATTGAATGCCCCAAGTCTGAAGTCTGAACACCAATATTTGCAAAGCACACTAAAATCCTGGTACTAGTGTAGTGTTATAGATCTTAGTAAATGACAACCTTTTCTTCTCGTCTGAACCAATTATAACAAAGCGTTGAACGACAAACAGTCGACTACATATGATATTTTCCCTGTCAAAGTAGAATGTCGTCAAAATCTTACTAAAATAAGTAACATCATATGATGTAAATTCTCATTTCATTGGGATATCAATCTGAGAAATTACATTTACCTTTTTCCTACCTACTCAAAAAAGGGAAAAGGGCCACTATCAATGGGCAAACATTCATTCCCAAAAAAACTGCGTTTTCTATCTAACATTAACATGGGCATTTCAGTTAACAAGAAAAAAATTGCAGGATCATCAAATTTTCTTGTTCAAGAACCCTACCCTTCCCTTCCCCACCCCACCTTAGGTATACATACATCCTGATATGTCTCTACATTCTTTCAAGCAAAAACAGCACCAAAAGACAGAGCCATTAAAAGCAGAGCAGCCCTTTCTACCTCACCCCATTGCCTTGGACTCCTCTGTCGCTTCATTGGTGACCTCTGCCTCTGCAAATACAACAAATTTGCTTTCGTCACATCCTTTGATTTTCCAATTTTACCCTTTTTACCACCATTCTTGGTGGAAGTGGTGGCTGCCGCTGCGGAGGCCGATGTGGTGGTGGGATATTCCGTTTTCCTCTCTCGGCCTTTTGGCCTGTCCAATCCCACAAAGGGACTCCTTTTCTTCCTCATTCTAATCCCACAAGCATTACACAGTGTCTGGAACAAAAAAAGTACGAAGACTCAAAATAAGTTTAAAATCAAACAACCCATATCAAAAAATGCTTTAAAATAATCGATGAAGGAGTAATCAACCTTTGGGCCAGAAGGACCACTCCTCCACAAAGGGGTTTTTGTGGTCTTACAATCGGCACAAAACTTTTCGATTTCAGCCTCGATTAAACCGTCAGATAACGAAGACTCTTCCTAAAATAAAAATAAACCAAAAATCTCTGTAAAAACACAGTATAATCAGTTAATATTGACAAACGAAAAATTCCAGCCACACCTTTTGGCTACAATCCATGAGTTTAGCTCTTTCTCAAAGAAGACCCGTAATGATTTCTTCTTCTTTTCTGGTGCAATTAATCCACGGATACTGAAAACTTCAAAAGGGCTAAAACCTCATCTAGGGAACAGCTTTCCTTAAATGATTATTCGATTTTCTCGAAAAAGAGTAAAAAATTGTGGGTTTATTTTGGAAGAGAATAAAAATAGGGAAAACCCATGTACCAACAAACACAATAGAATCAAGAATTATGAAGTTTTTGTTGAAACTGAGGGACCCGCATACGAAACCCTACACAGAGAACAGAATCAAGAATTAAGGAAATTTTGCTGAAAGAGTGGGAAATTGGAGAAAACCCACGTACTAAAACACGCACAACGATGAACCGAAAACCTCAGCAGTGACGTAAATGATCAGAGTTTTAGAACCGACATCATATAAATGGCGGCACCGTACAAATTGACAGTGAAGGGCCCGAATTGACACAATGCCCGCCAAAAATGTTAGGAGAGGAGCGCATGATACACGTGTCAGCTTGCATGCACGGGGCCGATTAATATTTTATGTTTTTTTGGACATATCCCATGCGGTAAAGGATTTTAGTATTTGTTTATTAGTTAAGTGGAATGTTTTGAAGAATCAAAAGTACCATTAAAGTATTCTTATTTTTAGCCTTTGGACTCCATTTTTTCAAATTATAATAAAATAAATAATTATTTAAAAAAAAATATGTGATTAAAAAAAGAAAAACTTTTAAATTTACGTGTAATATTATTTTATTAAGAAATGCGTGATTAATAAGAAAATAGAGAAAAAATAAATTTTAATTTAATGGGGGTCATATAAGAGCTTAAATTTGAATATCACAAAAACATCTGGATTACTTTGAGTCCTATATAATCTAAAAGAATAACGTTATCTATCCATTCAAATTGTACAAATAGTGTTACAGATACACGTGGCATGCATTCATCGAGCGATTTGAATTGCAAAAATTCAACTCGGCCTACAAATTTGTTAAGCTACATCTACAGTTTAATTGTTTAGGTAGCACGGTCCAATCTAAAATACCCTTGCAAAATAAAAAATAAAAAAAAATGATAACATTTTCTAAAATTAGTTGTAACCTAACCGTTTGACAGTCATTTTTTGGAAAAATTGATTTTTTGAATAGTAAATTTTTTGGAGAATGTGTGATTAAAAATAAAGAAATATTTTGAATTTACTTGAAAAATATTTTATTGAAATATATATGATTAAAAATAAGTATGAGAAAAAATTTGGAAAAATGACGACTAAATAGAGACTTAATTTGATCGACGTAAAATATAAGAAGATAAATAAATATCTAACATATAGAGCTCGTTCGACATATTTTAAATTTTAATCTTAAAACTTTACTTATTCTACATATACATTCCAAAAATATCAACTTATTTTTAGATTATATATTGCTTACAGTGACAAGAGTGGCAGAGGAGGTAGCTAATATTTTTGTATCTTGGGAATGTGCCTTCGATATTGTCAAAATGGTGACAAAGTTTCTCTGATATTGTCTCTAAAACTATTAAATTATACCCTAATTTTTGCCATTTAAGAATTTTGACACCACTATGATGTTTTAAAAATTATGACCCTTGTACTAATTTATCTACTATTGTACCCAATTTAGTGTACCAGACGCACACTTATAGTCCATTTAGAAAAGTGGCCATTAGGTTGAGTTTTCTTCGTGACTTAGTCGATCGACCTCAAATATTTAACATTCAATTCATTTAGCATTTGTCGCTCTTCTCTATATAGCAGCTTTATCTTTTACATGTCAATTCATTATTAATCTTTCGTCATTGATTTCTCGTAATGGATTTTACGAAATAAGACTTTCCCGATAAATTTTCAGCTTTGAACTTCTTCCACATCATAGTAATGCTACCTATCATCTATTCAAATTGGTCAATGGTCATGCCCTTTTAAGCACCTCCAATGTCTATTGATTTTCATTGGCGGTATACCAATTAAAAGAGTTTATGTCAATGTGGCATTGAATAAACAATCAACCTTACTTGATTTCCAGTCAGTTCTATCTACAATTCAATATTGATGCATAGATATCTTATTTTCTTAAAATAAAAACAAACTGCGTGATTCTTTATATAGCAGCTTTATCTTTTGTCTTTTACACGTCATTCATCATTAGTTTTTTATCACAGATTTCACCCCCTAGAGCATAGCCTACTGGATGACAAAAGTGAGGTAGTCTCAGCCTTGTTGGCATCTGCAGTGTGAGAGTTTAATTCCTGATATATGGAATTAGACTCTTTGTGGGCACTATTGTACAGATAAGCTACTATTCTCTGACCTGTTGGAGCACAACCCGCAATTTACCTCATTCACGATGTTTCAGGAACAGGACAGTGAAAACCCTCAAAATTAGGGTGCAACCTTTTTTTTTTTATCTCTGATTTCTCATAATAGATTTTTCGAGACAAGACTTTCACAGTAAGTTTTCGGCTTCTAACTTCTTCAACATCATAGCAATGCCACCTATCATCAACTTGAATTGGTCACGCCCTTTTAAGCATCTCCAAATGTCAATTGATTTTCATGAGCGGGATACCAATTAAAGGTTTATGTCAATGTGGCATGGAATAAACAATCAAGCCTAAATTGGTTTCCAATCAGCTCTATCTACAATTCAATATTGACACGTAGATGTCTTACTTATTGAAGAAATTTTGAGAGCATCAATTATTATATTTGTTATCATATAAATTCGAGCTTTTAAAGTCTCGAATAATCTCAATCAATAAACAAGTTTGGTGCTCCTAACCTATTTTTAAGCACCACTCCTAAACCTTACATGTAATCTGGAAAAAACCAAATTTTGACGTAATTAGTGGCAGAAAGTGATGGAGATGGTAGAAAATAGTGTCACGTAAGTTTGGAAAGGGAGTAACACCAATTACGATTACCTCATCAAGAATAAGGCAACACGTTACTCTTTGATTTTTATGGTAGTTCTGCTTGATTTTCTTTTTTCTTTTCCTCTTTACTTGTTTCAGACCTCATTGGTGGTAGTGAGAAGTGATCGTTCGAAAACAGTGCAAGACAGTATATTGTATAATAATTATACATAAGTTACCTTGTAAGAGTACTAGTGTTATCTAAAATGAGGTACATGACGTTAGAAAATAGCATTTTGAACCCCTCCCAACCCAGTGAGATTTAGACGTCATGCGACAGACTTGTCTTTTAAAGATGACAATCATAATACTTGTATTGAAACTAGAGAGAGATTGCCAAGGCACCTCAAAATAGACATGAAAGCATTCTTAACACCATGAGAAAAAGTAATAAATGGTTTCGTCAGAACTGGGTAGTCAAATCTTTGGGAGGGCCAAAATCACCCATCGGCAGGTCAAAAAACAAGGAAAAGTTTTAGGATACAAATTACACATGATAACTGACAACACATATCTTAGTTGTAAATTCTTGTCAATGGCTCGACAGACAACATACGTGCACCTTAGGCTTTCAAGTTTTGTAACCAGTGATACTAACCTTCATTTGAAACTGAATCCACCAGAAGGCACCGAGACGTCTCCCCCTCCAAACTGGAAGCCTTGTTGGGAGGCATCTCCTGGGACTGCCTCTTCGTCATCTTCCTCTAACCAATACGTCTCTAAAATCTTCACTGCCTTCTCGTAAATCTCATTATTATCGTGACTCTGCAGGTTCTCAATTTTTTCCAGCCCTTCAGCATCGTCAATCATCTGAGCAAAAAGGTTGATGTCTCCTGTATGTCCCAAGATCTTCTCAGTTTCCCCTATCTTCAAAATGTTTTCAAGTCCTTCCAAACAAACTGTGACGATTCTTGGATCTGGGCAGACAAGCAGATCACATAGCGGCTTAATACACTGTTGGCTCACAAGGTACCTGTGAGCAAAACCAAAAACAAGTGCTGTTACGAACAAGTAAAATACTAATGCATCTTGAAATATTAAGATACTAAGGGAAAATTGACTACACACTTAATTTGTTCGTGAGTGCCACCAGATGTTGCATTTGATATTGCCCAGGCAGCCTCCTTTTTCACATCAAATTCTGCATTTAGAAGCAACTGAACCAGAGGGCTGATAATGCCGGTCTCAATCACAGCCTGCAGAGTAACAAAAATGTGTCACCCACAGCTCAGGGTTGATATTAAGAACAAGAAACAACACACAAGGACTCCTTTTCTGTTCCCTTTGAATTTGAAGTCAGCCACATGAATCCAGAAAAGGTTTCGCAGAAGCATAAACAAATCAAATTGATATATTTCTCAATACAAAGTCTGAAAGCTAGAATCAAATTTACCTGGATTTGCTCCTTATTTCCAGCTGTGATGTTTGAAATAGTCCAGCAAGCTTCCTTTTTAATGCTCTTCTTATGGCTACCATTCAAGAGGTTCAGAAGACATGGTAGTGCATTGTAGCTGATGATATACTGTAAAAATACAAGACTGCTCAACCATTGCAGGCTACAACCAATCAAAATTACTGTGCGCAATGATCTACAAGGATCAGCTGGGACTTGACAAGAAAACAAAATTTCAAGCAGAAAGCAGGCACACTACAGGACATGACATTGTCATTTGAGTGCATATCATATGAACTGCAATTCAACAGAAGTATAACTTTTGCACAGAAGGACCTTTTATAGTTTTATAACAAAACAAAACTATTGATGCGGCTAAAGTTCATCTTATATAAGGAGCATTACTGATTGGAACAATTGAACAACTAAATGCCTAGTTTCCTGATGCCCTTGGCCAAATTTCAAACATCAATAAATTTCACCGCTCCAGAATTCCTCCTCATTAGCAAATAACTACTCCACTTTTAAAATTGATTAGTTTTTCCCCCAATATTCCAAACAAATTACTATACCCTAAAAAGTCTCTTCTAACAAAAAATAACCTTGCCACTACCCTTCAATGCTCTTGCTGTTGTCATTGTCACCTCCGCAAGTACCATCACATCACGTGCACTGCTACCTAAAAATTCGAGTTTTGTTCGTGCCTACCAAAAAATAACTACACTGAACTTGCTAACACTACATGCTAATCAATAGCAACAAGAAAGAAGGTTGTGCTCCTCTTTAATTGTGTTCAGAGTTCAAACAATCCCAAACTTCTTTCTCTTAGTTTATCCCCTAAAGCTGTAATCATTTTGTCTCGCAACTTGTTTTATCAAGCTACCTTATCTTCTTCAATTACCATTCCGTAGTTACTCTCTTTCTCGTGAAATGATACAGGCATCCACCAGCAGCTTACCACATAATATGTTTAGAAGCTTACAAGCACGACCAAACAGTAACACTGCCTCATGAATACAGATTTGTTTAGGAAGTTGTTTCATGAAATTCAGGATTTCCAGCTTTCCTTCTAAAGCTGTAATCCTTCCAACATAGAAAACCAACCAATTTTCTACACATTAGATTCGAAAACTGTTTCAATATCCATGGCAATGCATTTTTTT